TGTCATTTTTACAACCACATTATAAAATTTTTGTTATAAATATTAGTTTTGGTGTGCCACCCCTGGTTTTTCAGTGCCCCCCACCCCCCTTCCCACCAAAAAAGATTTCTGCAGGCGCCACTGCTAAGATTGAGTCCAGGTCCACTCTGATGACATTTATCATTTATTGATTCCTTGTTATAATTTACATTAATAAAGTCACTGATTATTTCTCTAATTTAATCTGCCAGCTTCATAATTTACACATTATTTTCTTGACTTTTTAAAGCTGACTGAATTCAGGTGGCAGTAAAATCATAATAATCTATCTGCTGATGTAGGAGCTGGATACAGAGTCAGAGGAGCAGGTAGGACAGAGTGTCTCATGTAAGAGATGCGGTGATGGGCAGGTGAGAAGGAAAAATAAAATGTTATTTTGAGTACATTCTAGTCAGCTGTGAACTTAATGTAATGAATTACTGATCTAAAGACATAATCTACAACATGCTTGACAATTTATTTTATTTTGACCAGTATAAAAGTGATAGGCTTAGTTAAATTTAACTTTTATTTGTAGGAAGTGGTAGAAATTGGTTTTCATAATTGGGATTTTTCTGGTTAAATAAAGGTCAGTAAATAATCATTAGCTTTCAAATCAGTTACAAACATCCACATATCGATCTTATAAATAAATGTAAAAACATTATCTAAGCTTGTTTGGGATGATTTGTCACATTAATTTAATTATGTGAGTCATACAGTAAATGAGTTTAAAACGGAACAGTGCAACTAGTTTAATGAAGAATCTGTCTCCAGTCATTAAATCAGGTGTTTATTTATGTAGGTAAAAGTATCTTTAGCAACCTGTTAAAATACAATAGAAATCAAGAAATAGCTTCTAATTTATTCAAAGTGTTCTGTGGGAGTACCCCCAGACCCCCCTCCAGTGTGTCCTTTACACACATTATAAGACTTATGTGAGAGAATAAACCAACACACCTGTGATCCACCTGTGTGTCTCTGTATGAAACTATTGTTGATTATCAAACTGTGAGTTTAAAGGGCTGGTACAGTACATGGTTGAATGAAGGTGAACATAATCTCAGTTAATATGGTTTGAGTATTACTGCATCACAACAGAAACATTTGGTGTTCAGTTTTTGATGTGTGCAGACAGTTAAATTGGGCACTCTGAATACAAGCGGAGTCTTTGTGATTTGTGTTAATCAGGTGGTGGTGGCCTCAGATGGTATCATATTCCTGGCCTGGATTATTGTACCAGTCCACCCGTTTGTACCTATTGTGTTTTCAACTGTAGACAGCATAGGACATTCATATTTATGTTTAGGTTTTATTCTTAGCAACAACAGAAAAACCCGGTTGCACAACTGTGGGTGTGTCAGACCCCATCCCCCACGGTGCGTCCCCACCAACTTTCAACACAAAGTTACTTACCTGGCAGGAATAAATATTTTTTGCTGTTGATTTAAACTGCACTGGAAGTACTAGCTTTCTACCACTGCTGCAATTTATGCTTGCAAATACCTTTAAAATATAAACTAGTAGGCAGCATGATGGCTTAGTGGTTAGCATGATGCCTCACAACAAGAAGGTCCTTGGTTTGATTCCTGGTTTGGACCTGGAGTCTTTCTGTGAGAAGTTTGCATGTTCTCTTTGTGCCTGCGTGGGTTTTCTCCAGGCACTCCGGTATTACCCCACACCCCAAAACATGTACAATAGATTGCCTTCAGGCCCAGGCCAACCTTGAAATACAGATCTGCGATATCAGTTGAATTTGCCTGGTAAAACGATAAAATAATAAGAAAAAGCAAACTTACTTGAAGTTTAAGATATTTTACTGCCCATCCAAGGAGTGTTCTCACTTATCAAAATAACTGAGAAACCTCTTCACATTGGAAGTTAAATATCTTCAACTTCAAAATACAAGTCGTTTTTTTTCTCCTTTTTTTTTTTTTTACCTGGATGGCTGCTTAAGCTGCTGCCCGTGACCCGACTTCAGATAAAGCAGGAAGATAATGGATGGACGTTAGCTAAAATCTCTTTTCTTGATCTAGTGTTTTTTTATTTTTTTATTTTACACTGCACTAACAACCCAATCTTTAGTTCTTTTTAGTGTGTTTGCCAACTGCAGGAACAACAGTTCCCAAATCAGCTGTCATTTGATGCAGAGTGCTTTGTTCAGGGTGACTGTTGGTCACCACTAATGGTCAAGCCGACATTCATTTGACCGGACAATTTATTTTAAATGGTTCAAGAAGTAGTGTTTCATTGGAAACATTCCTTTATAACCTGGGCACGTTACCTTTTTGCTATAGCAGAACCAGCAGAAGCATAGACAATATTGTATTGTAGCATACCCATATATCTGATCCTGTGAAGTATGTGCTGATGATCCAATCCAAGCAGCTCCTTTTTTCTACAAAGAACAGTGGGAAAATACACAGTGCAAATTGATAGTCAAACATGACCTGGTTTTACTCTCACGGTCTTCACAGCCATTGTTCATTAAATGCTGTAGACATTATATACAAAAATGGGTGTTACTATATTTCTTTAAACCCTTACCTCCCTGCCACTTGCTGGAAAGGAAAGAGTGGCCTCAGAGTTGTCAAGAGAGCTGAGTGAAGAATTCATAGTGGTGAATTCCCTGTTGCTTTTGTTGACAGGCTCTTCCATCGAACTTAGAGACTAATGTTGACACACACAGCAAAATGTGTTTGTATTTAGTAAGACAACATTGGGTGTTACTTATTGTTGTATTTTCTTTCTTTTATTTTGTTTTAGTGTGTGTATTTAGAGATAATCAGGACAATATTCAACTTTGATTTAAATTGCTAAAATTGTAGTTTTGGGAGGATTAAACATAAGACCAATCATTTTGAGATGTAATCGTAGTTAATTTAATATAAAAAATATTTATTAGAATTATTATAAATGAACATTATCCTAAGTGAGCTCATTTTCATAAATAGTACAGCTCGTGTTGGGGCGAGTTGCTGCATTAAATCTAATTATTTTTGCTTTGTTGCAGATGAATAAAGATCTTTCTCACACTGCCCTCGTGTGGCCATCTGCTGCTTTACCAGAATTGAGTTTATGTCAGTCATAAGCCACTAACAGTATATAAAAAAATATGATGAATGTTTTTGTTAATAACCCTTGGCTAACAGGTTCATAAAACTAAAATCTTACACAGTGCTGGGCCCTAGGCGAGTTGAAGCGCAACCCCCCCCCCCCCCAACTATGTCCCACCCACCCCAATTAAAACCCCTAAAACTAAGTTTGACAGTGTAAGGTACTGTGGTAAACTTAGATTTATTTGCGTTCCCAGAAAGCAAATAAATACTGTAACAATATACATGTCAACTTGTATGGATTGTCCGCAAGTTATAAGGATTTTACGTTTTTTTTTTTTTTTTTTTGCAGGTATACGGACATATAGGGCAATCTCACGGATTTTTTCAAGTCTTGCGGATATTTTAAAAACCTCATTTTCAAATTTATCTAACATGTCAGAGCCTGTAGGATGATTTAAAAAACAATAAATAACATCAAATAGCCATCTTCCAACCTGTTCTGCCGGTAGAAATAAGTTTTCAACTTTTTCCTCTCACCTTTCCTCCTGCGTCGCAGCGGGTGCGAGTTGTATGAATTTTTTTTTGCAAAATTTACAGATTTTTGAGGCTTTTTATACTGGTAAACGTCTGAAGAGGTTGGCATGTATGGGACAACAAAATACAGACTTGTTGTCATTGAGTTTGTCAACACAAACTGCTACCTGAGAAGAACTACTAGCCCCTCCCCTGTCAAGAGTGTCGGAGCACGATGGGTCAGTGCAAAGTCAATCAAATGAGAGAGAGTGTGGGGGCAATTGCTGCATGGGAGAGGGGGGTGATGTTTTAGGGGTAGTTTATTTTTCCTGTAATACTTCATTATAGTTTTTTTTAAGACGAAGCTAATTGAAAGGGGCGCTTAGCAGAGTGACAACCAGGGATTACAAATAATTACTTTTTTCTTCTGCAGTTCGGTGCCCCCTCCAGCAGATGGTGCTTTAGGCGACTGCCTAGTTTGCCTATGCCAAGAGCCAGCTCTGATCTTACATGCAGTGGTCAAATGCTACAGCTCAGGTATTTTACACTTCTTGTTCAAATGTTAACAGTTTGTGTACCTTTGCTTTTAATGCAGCTTACAAAAACAAATTAGGTTTGGAACACACACACACACATATATATATAAACCAATGCCATGGTAATCTTACCGTTGGGTGTGTTCGATCCACAATAGTATGGTTGATTTGAGATAAGAAATGTGATTGATGTGATATAGGTTTTTTTAACTGCTTGATTTTTGCACTGGGAATATTCCTCCTCTGTCAAATTTCTAGGGAGTGGGAGACCTTTACCTTTACTCTCTGAATATAGACAATGCTGACTCTTTTGCAGGCCTGTCTTTGATTTTTTTGTACAATGATCCTCTATTTTTATTTCCACAATTTTATTATTATTATTATTATTTTAAGTTTGGTAACAAATAATCCTGTCAACATTAGTAGCTTTGTGAAGTATGGTTGTCATTTTTTCTTTTGAAACTATGATGCAGACATGCTTTTGTAGAGACATGTTAAAGGCCTAAAACTAGACAGAAAAAAATGCTTATGCTGTGCTTGAAAGTAAACTGATAGAAATTGTGTAAAATGAATGTGACATTAATTTAAGGTATTTAGGACTCTCGCTAAGTTTAAAATGGTCATCTCACAGGACCAGAAGATTTTACATAAACCTACAGCAAGAGGTGGATCAGTTCTTGTTAAATTGAAAGATCACAATAACTCTTGAGGCAGACATTAAAGGGCAATATTTGTAAAAGAACTGGATACTTTCTATCTAACTGCTTTGGCAAAGGTATTTTCTACTTTAAATTCCATTGTCATGTGTTACCTTGTAAGATTGTATAAACGTGGGTTGAAATGAATAGATAATGGTGCATAAAAGACAAAACTATCAATTTAGAACATATTTATTTACATCATAGTGTTATGTTAACATACAGCAAAATCCTCATTCTCAACTAAAGCAATTTTTATCCTATTGCTAAAGCAACCACTTTATAATGCTAAAACTGTTATTTTACACAAACATTCCCCCATGTTCTTTGTAAAGTTAGTAAAACAAACAAGGCACATTAACAATAACAAAAACATGATAAAAACAATGTAAAGGTGTACAGAGATGCAGAACAGAACTGCATAATGAAGAAAACAAAAACAATCAGCAAAGTAAAACTTTAAGCCTTTTTCAGCATGCTATGAAAATCAGTGACAAAAAACTGAAATGAGCAAATCTAATATAACACATACAATCATGCAAGCAACATTTTTGAAATAGGCACTTTGGTTGAACAGGATCAAACAGAATACAATTACATAGTGATCCAGGTGACTGAAGATGTGCTGATGTTTCATGAAGTTTTTGTAATGCAATAAAGACGGCTGATGTGAATGTGAATTTTCTGGTAGTGTAAATTTTAAGATATTCTATCATAAATAATCCTATGAGCATTCAAGTATTAACCTCATGATGAAAGCATATGAATAATGAGCATAGATTTGGCATCCCAAGATGAAGTTGACACAGCCTTAGCTTTCCACAAATGCGATGCACAGCGGATGAAAAGAAATACTCAAAGGCAGATCTATGAACAAATGAAAAGAAATATAAAAACAAGGCAACATGTTCCAAACAATGAAATGACAGAAAACAAACAGAATTAAAATAATGTCAACGACATAAGACACAAATATGGGTATCTTTTGTGATAAATAAAATCTAAATTCCAAAACAACTTGGGGTTATACCTGATTTTCTGTGTGGTAATGAAATGAACTCACAGTTCCGTCAGTGGTAGGGACGCTACACGCTCTTGCCAGCTGAGTATTTGTACAAGCATTTTGGATTTGGAGTGAATGTTGCATCTATGAAAAATAAGATGGTAGAAAAAAAACAACAGTAGTTATTGGATTTTTAGTCGAATGGATCCATTTTACTCATAATATGACAGTACAAGTAGCATGTGAGACATGTCTTCAGGACAGGGTGTGAAATGTGATCTCAGTCAACTAAAAATAAACATGATGAAAAATGTCAACTTACAGGAGAGAAAGTAACAGGCAGCGGGACTGTGAGGGAGCGCAGGATTGAGTCTGACATCATCTTGGGATTTAGCAGGAACACTTAGTTAATGGAAATTATGAGAATCCAAAATTTGGAGTGTGTAAAACAATAAGGCAAATACCTTGTCCACTGACAATAGATGGACATGAGTAATAGCAAATTTAGAATCAGTTTCAGAACAGTTTGCACAAATTTACTGTTAATTTTTCTTTCAATTAAGAACTCAGTGATTCATTTAGTAGTGATTTACAGGAGTAATTTGTGCTGCAATTTACCCTACAGTGCACATCAGGCAACATGAAACAAAAACATGAACACATCTTTTGTCTACACTATACAAACATTTTAAAGTCTTGAAGGCATCTTTATGTTTTAGTTAAATCATTACAGCTATGTTGATATTCAATATTGCATTACTACAGAAGATAAAAAAGTTATAAAACATCTTTAAACTGTCAAATTTAACATAAAACAAGGAAGACATAAAAACATTTCTGTTCGATACATATATTAGTTCTTAAAAACACCAGCACATAATGTTTGAATAGGTGTAAAAATCAAATGTATAATTACTTTAAAAACAACAGAAATACCATGCTTTGCTTTAAACAATTATGAGCTAAATTGTTTTCTTTACTGTAAGTTTTTTCTATAATTCTGTATAGTCATTGTTACATCCTCAAAGAGGCAGTTGTTAACAAAAAAAAAAAAAAAAAAATCAACAGCCCAGGCAAATCTTGCTGCTGCTCAGTGAAACAACAAATAAATAAATCCTTTTAATCTTACTGTATTTGATTATTTTGTGTGAGAAATGCAACTCTAACGTGCATTAGTATTGCTAGTTTTTCGGTACAATCTATTGAGAGTGGGACTAGCTCTTTAGAATCTCCGAGGATAGCCAGATGTGGATGAGTAGGAGTACGAAGAGGAGGAGAAATTCATGCTAAAGCCGGAACCAGCATCAATGCTGCCTCTTCTGGAGCCTGATCGAGATCCTGTCCTTGAGCCAGTTCGAGAGCCATATGCAGATCCAGAACCACTGGCATTGTAAGGACTGTAAAGGCCTTTGCTGGACTGGGAAGAGGCCTCCAGAAGCCTTAAGCTAGACCCTTCTTCAACCATGCTTCTGTCCATGGCATCTTTGAAAGAGATTTTCAGTTTGGTTTTTGGACATGTCAGATATTTTGAATAAGCACCAACATCTCTCAGTTTTTGGGCAGTGCGAGCATCGATTGTCCCTTTTCTGATGGATTCATCTAGCGTCACTCTGCCCTCGACATCAGGCTCAATAAGTCCACCAGTCAAATATTGAATCTCAAGAAAACGCTGGCCAGCCTCATAATACAGCCAGCCTTTTTTAAGAGCCTGAGAGGCAGACATCTTCACTTTAGTTCTTGGATCTTCAAATCCATTGAATGCTTTTTGTGCCAGATTGAGGCGATCAACCATGACTTTATCCACCAAGTTTTTCTCTGTAGCCTCAGCGACTGAGAATCTCTCTCCAGTTGTGGGGTCTATTATTCCTCCTGTGCAGGCTTGGGCCTCCAACAGTCTTTGGCCTGTGATGTTGTCTACTAAGTTTCTGTGCATTGCCTCAGTGATAGACACTTTCTCCAATGTATCTATGTCCAGTATTCCTGCTATTGGCCCAGTCTCTTCTGTTGGGTCATTCCAGTTTACTGCAGGTGGTTTAATTGAAGGCATGGGGCTCATGGGACTGGAATAAGTTGATCCAGAAGTTGAACCAAATGAGGATGACCGTGAACGGAAACCTCCAATACCTCCAGAAAGCATGTCAGCAAACTCTGTGATTGACAGGTTTCCAGATCGGTATGTCTCTAGAGTCTTCTGGTCAACAAGTCCTCGTGAAAGAGCATCATCAACATCATACTGTCTGCCAGACCTTCTGTCAATTATTATGGATTTTACAGAGCCATCAGAGGAAGTCATTGTGATCTCCTCCCATTCACATTCCTGCTCAGCAAGCTCCAAGTATGTTTGATGGTCTATAAGTCCCATTCTGTAGGCTTCATATACACTCATTTCTTTGCCTGTCTCTGGGTCAACAATGACAACTCTTCGTTTTCGAACTGAAGATTTAGAGGAAGTCTTCCTCTCCTGGTTCTTTTCTTTTAGTAACAGCAGTACCAGGCCAGTGTCAGGATCAGTGATACATCTCTCCATCAACTGAAGGTAGGTTAGATTTTCTTCTGTATTGGGATCAAAGAAGCCTTTTGTATCATCAGATGGATCAGTCAAGATCTCATTCATTTCTTCATCAAAGAAGCCACGTTTGTAGGCCACCTCAACTGGTAGACGATGACTTTCTTCTGGGTCAATAATTCCACCAGTGGCTATTTGAGCTTCGAGGAGACGAATACCATGATCTTTTAAGATTAGGCCCTTTTTCATTGCTTGGAAAAGAGAGATTGTCTTGCCTGAATAAGGATCTCTATATCCAGTCACTGCTCGCTCAGCAGAGAGAAGCTTGTCCTTGAATTCAGGACCTACAATTCCCATTTTTACTGCTTCACTGACTGTCAGTTTAAGATTCTTGATTGGATCAATAACATACCCTGTGGCTGCCTGGGCCTCAAGAAGCTCAAATGCAGTCCCTGGCCTAATCATGTTCTTCTTCATGGCCTGGTATATGGATAAACGTTCTTTGGTTGACTCCAAAAATACACCAGCAATGCAGCCTGTGCCCTGAAGGTATCTTGCTAGTCTAATGCTAACTTCTTCCACTGACAGAAGGCCTTCATTTAATTCAGTGACAGTCTGCTGGTCAATAATTTGTGAGCGAATCAACTCTTCCATTGTGATTTGTTTTCTCAGACCTGTGAAGGTCAACCTCTTGTCTCCAAGGGAAAGGAGTCGCAATCCCCCTTCTAGCTTGCATCTTTTGAGGAGCTCTGCATATGACACTTTCTCTTCAGTAACTGGATCAATAAATCCTTTAACATTGTGTGTTAATTGCTCATTCGTCTCTTTGTTGATATAACCTCTTTGCAAGGCAATGTCTGCTGGCAGGTGGAACTGGAATTCTGGATCAATGATGCCACCAGTAGCAGTCTGGGCCTCCAACATTTTTAGAGCATAATCTTCCGGAACAAGATCTTTTTTCATGGCTTGGAAGAGAGAGATGATTTTTCCACTGTATGGATCTTTGTATCCAGTGACAGCTCTTTCGACTGAGAGAAGTTTATCATGGATCTCAGGTCCAACTATTCCCTTACGAACAGCTTCATCAACAGTAAGGGTTTCATTCTTCACTGGATCAACAATAAATCCTGTTGCAGCTTGTGCCTCTAGGAGGTTGAGGCCTATTTCTGGTTTAATGAAACCTCTGTTCATTGCTTGGTATATGCTTAGCTTGGCGCCTGAGTCTGTTTTGACACCAGCAACACAGCCTGTGCCATAGAGATATTGTTTCACGCTGGTCATTTCCATGATGTCACGAATGTCCCTCTTGCCCTGTTTGAGAAGATTGTATGTCTCCAAATCAATGATGCGGGCATTGTAGAGCTCTTCAATGGTTATCCTTCTCCTTATAGTCTTGTATGACAGTGGGCTGTCATTTCTGATGATTTCTCTTTGCTCCATTATCTCGATAATAATGATGATCATCCGCTCTTTGGTGATTTTTCCAGAACGGTATTCATCTAAGAGTTTCTGTCTTTCCTGTTCTGGGATCAAATTTGAGTTCATTACATCCCATAGGTTCATTGGTTTATCAGCAAGGCCCTCAACTGGAATGTCGATTTGGGTTTTAGTCAGATCACTCTGAGTTTGCTCTTCTGTATAGAGGTATGTCTTCTCCACGACTGTTGGAGATTGAGGTTTAGAGAGAGGGAGGATGTAAAAGCCTGTGTCTGTATCTTTTTGGCATTTGTCTTTAAGCTGCTTGTAAGTTACATTCTCATCAGTTTCTGGATCTGAGAAAACCTTGTTGTCATTGGATGGTACAGACAGAGCTGTGGCAATTTCTTTACTGAAAATGTTCTTCTGGAAGGCAGCCTCAATGGGGACCCGATGACTGTTTACAGGGTCAATGATTCCTCCACTGATCATCTGTGCTTCCAAAAGGGGCATGGCATGTTCTTTAAGTATAAGATCTTTTTGCATTGCTTCAAAGAGGGAGATTTTCTTGCCCGTGAATGGATCCTTGTAACCAGTGACAGCCTTTTCTGCAGAGAGAAGTTTTTCGTGCAGCTCTGGACCAATGAGGCCTTCCTTCACTGCCTCATCTACTGACAGGCACTGTTTCTTTACAGGATCTACAATGAACCCAGTTGCAGCCTGAGCCTCAAGAAGTAAAAGGCCAGTGTTGTGTCTGAGAAGCTTTTTCTTCATAGCTTGATAAATGCTCATTTTCTCCTTTGGTTCTAGGCAAATGCCAGCAATACTTTCAGTGCCCTGAAGGTATTTACTAACACTAGGATTTTCACTGACCTGTTTAGGTGTTGTTTTGCCTTCCAGAAGGTGGTCAAATGTTAGTTTGTCAATGATATTGGAATCATACAAGGTATCTGCTAAAACAGGAGCTCGAAGCCCCTTAAAGCTGGACTGTTCTTGTTTCTTAGCTTCTTTCTCATTTACAATTGTGATAATGATCTTTATTATCCTTTCAATTGTAACTGTTCCTGACCGAAACTCTCTGAGCATGTCAAGTCTCTGTTCCTCAGTGAGATACTCAGAGTTGATAAGTTCCCAGATTGTCATCTTTCTGGCTTTAAAGGGTCCAGAGTCAAGCTCCACAGTTGCCTGAGTCATAGCCTCTTTTGTCTGGGCTTCAGTGTATGTCGACACCCCCTTATCATTGACTGCTTCATCACTTAGAGGAAGAAGAAGGAGACCAGTTTGCTTGTCAGTGACACATCTCTTGGAGAGCTGTGTGTATGTCACATGTTCTTTTGTGTTTGGGTCAAAGAAAAGTTTAGTTTCATCACTTGGACTGCCCAGAGTCTGTTTCATTTCATCATCACAGTAATTTCTCTTGCAAGCAACATCATGAGGGATACGAAAGCTTTTTACTGGATCAATGATGCCACCAGTGGCCATTTGGGCATCAAGCAGTCGAATACCTTGCTCTTTAGGAATAAGATCTTTTTTCATTGCCTGGAAAAGAGATACAGTCTGTCCAGTGTAAGGATCTTTGTAACCTGTAACAGCTCTCTCTGCAGACAGAAGCTTTTCATGCAGCTCAGGACCAACAACACCAGCTTTGACAGCCTCATCAACAGTGTATTTTTGGTTTTGGACAGGGTCAACTACAAAGCCTGTTCCTGCTTGGGCTTCAATCATATTCAAAGCAAGCCCGGGTCGTACCATGTCTCTCTTCATAGCTTGATAGAAGGACAATATCTCCTTGGATGAATCAATGAGTACACCTGCAACGCAGTTTGTACTCTTCAGTGCCTTGTAGACTGGCTCCATTTCAGAGACTTCCTTGACTGACACCTTTCCCTTCTGTAGTTTATTGTGAAGGTCTTTATCAATGATTTTTGATTCCACAAGCTCACTGACAGGGATGGGTCCTCTCAGACCATCAAAGGTAATTTCATTCTTTTTGTCCTTCTCCTCAGCTACTGTAATGACAATCTTAATTATCTTTTCTATGGTAATTTTGCCTGTCTTGTACTGACGAAGAAGATCCTTCTTTTGATCTTCAGTGAAATACTCAGAGTTGATTATCTCCCAAATGGTGACAGTTTTACCTTTGAATCTTCCAAAAGGCACAGACACAGCTGTTTTGCTGAATACATCTTTGGTCTCTTCTTCTGTGTATATACTAGAGCAATGAGCAGCTTTTTCTGTGATTGGCAGGAGTAACAGACTTGTACTGGGGTCAGTAGTGCATCTTGCCATTAACTCAGAATAGGTCAATGGTTCTTGAGTGCTAGGGTCAAAATATCCCTTTGTGTCATCTGAGGGTTTGTCCATGATCTTATTCATTTCTGCATCATACTGTCCTTGCTTACAGGCTGTTTCATTGGATATGCGGTGACTATTGATAGGGTCAATGATGCCACCAGTAGCAAGCTGTGCCTCAAGGACCCTGATAGCATGATCTCGTTCAATCAGACCTTTCTTCATGGCTTCAAAGACAGAAATCTTTCCACCGGTGTAAGGATCTTTGTAGCCAACAACAGCCCTCTCGGCTGAAAGCATTTTGTTGTGCAGTTCAGGGCCAATCAAGCCTTCCTTGACAGCCTCATTAACAGGAAGTTTCTTGTTCTTAATAGGGTCTAAAATATAACCTGTGGCTGCCTGGGCCTCAAGAAGGATCATTGCTGTGCCTGGAGTAATCATTTTTTCTTTTGATGCCTGATAGATTGACATTTTTTGATTGGCAGGTGTTAAAACACCTGCAATGGCATTGTTTCCTTTAAGAATTATTTTAAGATCTTTGGTCTCCCCAAGCTCTTCAACAGTGGTTTTGCCACTCTTTAGTTGATCAAACTCGTTTTGGGGTAAAAGACCAAGGTCATAAAGCCTACTTGCAGGTACCTTTTCACGAATGCCATCAAAAGCTAAGGGATCTGGTCTCTTTTCTGCCTCATCCACTACATCCCTACCATTTTGACCAATGTAAACTGTCCTTGTTGTTTCAACTGTTGTTACATGGTGGATCTCTTTGTTTGAAAATTTATCAGTCTCAGTGTCTTTCTGAGCTTCTTCAAGCTGCTGAAGTTTCTCACGCAACTTCTGGTTTTCCTCTGCAAGTACCCTTTCCTGTTCTAGTCTCTGTTTTTCTAGTTCTTGCATTTCTTTTTGCTTGTTAAGCATTTCTTGTTCTGCCTCTTTCTGTTTACTGACGGCTGCATCCATGGTGGCCAGAAGTTTCTTTTTCTCCTCCTCCATTTGCTGTCTCTGGCGTTCCTGTTCATCTTTAAGTGCCTTTGCTTTCCTCACTTCCTCTTCAAACTGGCTCTCCAGCCTCTTTTTCTCATCTTCAATTAGCTTCTCCTTCTTTAACAGCAGCTCCTTTTCTGTAAGGAATGTCTGTTGAAGCATTGTCTTCTCATGCTCAATTTGTTTCTGCTGTGCATCAGCCATCTAGTAGGAGGGAAAAAAAACACGTTACATAAGGTTTGTAGTTTCTAGACTTCCTTGTTAACACTTATTTTCTTTAATAAAATGTATAATGAAAACTGTTCCTACAATGCACTCTGCTTATGCATATGGGGCTACAAGGGTCACTAAAAATTTACACAATATTTGTTTTTTTACCGTAAGTTTTTGCATGTTTACTTAATATGCATTATATTTTCTTGAACTGTTCAACATGTTTGCTTGCCATTTTGTTTCCAAAACTGCTTTTTATAAAGTGGTGTAACTGTTTAGTGCAAAATAAAATTCCAAAACTTTAAACACATAGTGTTGTATGTAGTTAAAAATATTTAATGAGATTACTTTTGTAGGCATTTATTTGAACTAGAATAAAGTTTTGCAATAAAGCATTTGATCCTCACAAAATGTTTTATGTACCTTTAGGGAAAAGTTAAAAAAAAACCCAGCAAATGTTTGCATACATGTTATGAAAGTAGACAAAGAAATCCTCACTAAGAAATTAGTGAAAAATGGCTTCTGTACTATTTGGGCTATTTTTCCATTCTAAACTAGGACAGCTCATCTAGGCCATCAATGGGAAAAGGATTTTTCAAGTTTGCATACAATTTTAAATGACTACCAGTCAGGACAAAAGTCTAAGTTCACTTTAGTTAAAGTGGGTCATGTAGTAAAAATGTGACTCTAAGCACAGTTAATTGTATCAAATAATGTTTACTGAAAAATAAATCTAACTTTTCTATTAACAGTGAAGTTAAAGTGCCTGTGACATCCAATTTTCATGACAAATGAGAATGAAATTATTGAAAAATACAAATATATCATAAATGACATTTTGCAGCAAAAGGAATTTCATCACTAAGATGAAGTTGTTGAAGTATACAGTCACAAATTTAATTGGATACAGCCTCTCAGACTGATCTTTTGTGACAATAAAATACAATGCCTGCATGAAAACAGAGCATTGTCACAATGGATAACACAGACAGCAGCAAAGGACCACTGTGATCCAGACAGTTCTTCTGTTTTTATCCACAGAAAAGCCAAGCAAACTCACATCTGTTGTCATAATACTGCTGCAACCACCAGCTATATACTGTTTTGACTTATTAATGGTTTTACAAAAACGGCCACTTGCTCGGTGGTTTCACGTTTTCCTCTCACTTCCTGTTTCACTTTGACCGTGCACAGTCCAAATCACATGTTAAATGATATGTGATAAAATGGGTAAAATAAAAATGTTTAGGTGTTTTCTTCGGTTGTTTTATATTTGTAAAAAATGAATGTCATGGCACTTTAGACTACCCTTATCAAAACAAATTACACAAAAATACTTGTCTTTGGCTGTGTCTCAATTCAGTGGCTGCAGTTAACATAGGGTACATTTGTAGATGGCCTACATCACTGCACTGTGTTGTAGGCTTTCCCAAATTGTGGGCGCCTACTCATGCAGCCAACAAATGCAGTCACCAAAACCCCCCAAAATGTAGGCTGCATCCACAATTCATTGCACCAAAAGCAAACTAAACAGAAAAAACAAAAATAGCAGAGTTTTTTTTTTACAGTGGAGTTTACAAGTACTGATCTTAGAGCTAAAGCCAAATTATTAATGCTTTTTTATTATTATTTAGGGGGAGTATTATGCAAAATAGATTTTCTTGAGTTTTATATCATGCAATGTCATTCCCTCATCAAAAACATTTCTAGAGGAGGGCTATTCAACTGGCGGCCCACGGGCCAAATGCAACATCAAATATTTTTTAATATATAGAGCCTTTTTCAACTGAACAACTGAAGGCAACATAGTTACTTGATTGTGGTACAGAACTGAAGTGCCTCCCCAAATACTACTGCATTTTGTCAAGTTATACCTTCTGTGAGAAGAAGGCATGTGATAAAAAACATTAGGGCTGAACGATTAATCGCATTTGTGATAATCTCAAGATATGTTAAAACAAGATTTTTTTTAACTACACAGGCTGCAATTTGACAGGTCATGTGACTTGGGAGTGAGCCGAGCGGAGCAGTGCTGCCATCGTAGTGGCATTGTCGCTAGATCTAGCGTCTTTTTAGACCCCTCTAGTGCCCTTTTTTTTTGTTTTGTTTTTTCCAAAAAGCGACTACCGACAAATCTGGCAAATTTTCCCAGTGATTTTGGAGACTTTTAGAAGATTTGACCACACAACTTTCCAAACACTTTTCTCCTTTCCTCCTCAAGCAGTGAACAGTGAGGTGAGCCCCCCCCCCCCCCCCCGCCTTCCTAAAGTGGTCTGATTGCCTCATGCAGTGCCTCTGTGCTTTAAATAAATCTTACTTTGTTTATTATGAAACAGATTGATTTATTGCTTCTGTTTGTTGAAAAATACTTAAGACATTAAAAAAAATAATTGCATTTTAAATCGCAATTTATAGATAAAAAAATCGCAATTAGATTATTTTCCAAAGTTGTTCAGCCCTATAAAACATAACTCTATTGTAATAGGGCAGGGCAGAGCGAGGCAGTGCGGGCGTGGTTACACAAACATATGCCATCTGAAGACTAGACTGTCTCATTTCACAGCGGTTTTATGAGGCCTACATGGACAGCCCGCATTGGGTGTGGACTGCGAGGGATGCAACCTATGAATTGAGACACAGCTTATGATTTTTGTCTTGCCACTAAATGTGTAGTTCAAGATTGACTACAAATAATTAAAATGTTATGGAACAGTTCAATAAATTTAGCATTGTTTAATTTTCGCGTAACCATGGATGTGTCTCAATTCATGGGTTGCAGCCGTGGGCCGTAGGCCACTCATGTCGGCTGCATAAACAGCTGTGAAATGAGACGGTTTAGTCTACAGAAGACATATGTTTGTCTGACAACACGTTGCCCTTGTTATTATGGTGATAAGTTTTATATCACATTGTTGTATTTTCAATGAATAACTTCACAGAATTCAGTTTTAATTGTAAAACGTTACAAGTAAATACATAAAAAACATTAATAATTTGGGCTTAGTTTCAGTATCAGTACTAGCATTTTATTTAACATCTCATTGCCACAAAGGTTTCTTCAGCTAAGTTGTTTAACTTACATTTTTCGGTCCGTGATAAATTTCTAAACTTCGTCCTTAAAAATAAATAAATAAAAATCTGCCGTAAAATTAAAAAAAAAAAAACTTTTCTGTTTTTGTTTTTTCTGTTTAATTTGCTGAAGGGGCAATGAATTATGGGATACCACTGGCCGCGTAGGATACTCAGATGCAGCCAATGTTTTCGGGGTTTTGTCGGCTGCATTCCTGGACTGCATGTGTAGGCGTCGCAGAACTGGGACAGCCTATGGCTCGTGGCGGTGACGTAAGCTGCCAACAAATGCGGCAGACGTCGGCTGACACCCATGAATTGAAGCACAGTCCATGTCTTAGCAATGTTAATCTCTGTAATAACCTACCTACTTTCAATAAATGTTTGTAACATACCAGCTAAACTGCAAGTTTACTGATGTTACATTTAACCTGAACTCTGAAACAGAAAAGGAATATGAGATGTGCTGAAATAGAACTGAAAATGGATAAACATTCCAGAACATGAGGAGGCATTCAGGAGATGATCTGCATGAACACAGTGCACTGTAAGAAAATTAAATGTAAAATCATATTCACAATTTAATACAGATTTGTGATTAGTACAACCAGAGAAAGGACAGAGATTTTGGAAGGGAAATTGGTTAGTTTTTAGACAGTTAACAATGACATGAGCTTCTCTGCTATGCCATTTTTGACACAATACCTCTTTTGACTTATTTTGAAGGTCTTCAGCCTCCTTTTTCAGTCTAGCCTTCTCGTTCTCTAGGTCTGCAATAGCTTTGCGTAAATCATCAGCCTCTTTGCCGGTATTTAGTCTCTCAAATTCCAGTCTTTCCACTGCAGTCACTTTTTCTTGTGTGGCAATTTCAGTCTCATGTAGACGAGCAGCAACTGTATCGGCCTGTTTCTTGAATTTCTTGGCTTCTTCCTCAGCTTTGGCCTGGGCTTCGCTGAGCTGAGATACCTGAAGTCTTAGCTTTTCAGCCTCAGCAACAATCTCCAATTGTCTCTTTCTCTCGGCTGTAAGGGAACGCTGGTATTCCTCCGTTTCCTCATCCAGACGTTGCTGCATTAATTGTTTATCCTCCAAAAGCTTCTGTGCCTGTTCCTGAGCCAAGTCTTTTTGTCTTTGAAGCATCTCTGCCTCAGCTCGGAGTCTAGATGCTTCTTGTATGGCCTGCATGTTCTCTTTGTGCATTTTTTCTGCAAGTGCTCGTTGCTGATTGAGGTCATCTTCTGCAATCTGTCTGAGGCGGGCAGCCTCTTGGGCTTCAACACTAAGCCTAACAGCCTCTTCGGCAAGCTTTTTCATATTTTCAGCCTCATCAGCAAGGAACTTTTGTGTGTTATCTTTGTCTTTTTTGATGAGACGCTGATTTTCCTCCTCAATTTTGATTTTTAGTTTGAGAAGTTCCTCCATCTGAACCTTGACTTTGAACAGCTCATCCTCCACTTGGGTCTTTTGTTTGAGAGCATCATCAACCTCATCTTTCAGACGCTGCAGCTCATCATCCAGGAGCGATTTCTGTTTATCTGTTTCATCAAGTTGCAGCTTGACCTTTGTGAGCTCTTGCTCCACTTGAAACTTTTGTTTTAATGTTTGCTCAGCCAGTTGTTTGTGCTTTGCCATCTCAGCATCAGCTTGTTCTTTTTGCTTGAGTGCTGCGGCTTCGGCTTGTGCTCGCTTGGCAGCTTCAAACTCAGCCTCCTTCTTCAACCTTTCAGCATCTTCCTGAGCTTTAGCTTGCTTTACAGCTTCCTGTTCAGCAGCAGCCTTTTGCCGTTCTGCTTCTTCTGCTTGCTGACGAAGGAGAGCCGCCTCCATTTCTGCTTTCTCCTTAGCAGCTTCTGCCTCTTTGGCAAGTTTCTTGGCTTTCTCATATTCTTCTTTAAGCTTTTTTTGCATGATGCTGTCCTCCTTTTGTTGAGCAAGTACACTTTGCACTTGCTGCTCTGCTGCACTGCATTTCAGAGCTGCTTGCTGGGCTGCACTAATCTGCTCCTCTGCTTTTTGGTCAGCCTCATCTTTCTGTTTCTTTGCTTCTTCTGCTCTCTTTTTTAAACGCTCCAGCTCGTCTTGGGCTGCCTTTCTTTGTCTGCCTGCCTCTTCCTCTGCAGCAGCAATCTTCTTCACCTTTTCTTCTGCTTCCCTCCTCCTCTTTTCCTCTTCAAGGGCAAGCTTCCTCATTTTCTCAGCCTCCTCTTCTGCTCTGAGCTTGCTTTGTTGTGTCTCCTCAGCAATATTTTTCAACTTGTTCAGCTCTAGCTCCAGGTCCAGTTTCCCAGATGAGGCCTTCTCAAAGTTGAGCTTAAGGATTCTGATTTCTTCTTCAACAACTCGCTTCTGCTTTAGAGTGTCATCCACTACCGCTCTTTGTCTTTCCATTTCAGCTTCAGATGACTTTTTGAGCTGAACTATCTTTTCATCAATATCTTGCTTGTGTTGGTTTGCTTGGTCTTCAAGAGCCTTTCTCTGATAAGCTTCGTCCTCAGCTTGCCGTCGGAGTCTCTCATTTTCTGCCTCCTTCTCTTTCAGGGCAATTTCAGCTTCTGTTTTTAAGCGAGTGGCTTCACTGATGGCAGCAAGCTTCTCTTTGAGAATCCTCTCAGCCTCTGATCTCTGACGAGTTGCTTCTTCTTCAGCTATTTGACGCTGATGCTTAGCCTCCTCTGCGATGGCTCTAAGCCTGCTGGCCTCTTCTGCCAGGTCTTTCATCTTGGCAGCTTTAGCTTCAAGAAGTTGTTTGCTTTGTTCCGTGTTGAACATCGACTCCTTCTCTGCTTTAGACTTCATCTGGATGAGTAAATCCATTTCACTTCTTACTTTGGCTAGTTCATCTTCCAGCTGTTTCCTTTGTTGCTGAGCTGCAATAACTTCATTCTTCAGGCGGTAGAGTTCATCTTCAAGTAGGGACCTCTGTTGCTCTGCATTGTCAAAATCTGCCCTGAGTCGAATCAGTTCCTGTTCTGCGGTGAGCTTCTGCTGTGATGTGCTCTCAGCTACTTTTCTTTGCCTCTCAAGTTCTTTCTCAGCCATATCTTTCTGCTTCAAGGCTGACTCTTCAGCTTTGGCTCTCTTCTTTGCCTCACGCTCAGCTTCTTCCTTTTGTTTTTCAGCTTCTTCTTGAGCGAGGCTCTTTTTGTGTGCCTCTTCCTCAGCCTGGAGTCTTAGACGAAGGGCCTCGTTGGCTTTCTGCCTCCATTTCTCCAGCTCTTTTTCTGCCTCTTCTCTGGCGTTTTCTGCATTTTCCTGTTGCTTCTTGAGACGAGCTGCTTCTTGTTGCAGCTGAAGGACAGCACCATGCTCTTGCTTAAGTGACTCCTCCAACTTTGAGGTCTTTTCCACAAAAGAGATGTGTTTACTCTGCAGCTCAGCAGCAGCACTTTTCTGGGCTGCTTCATGAGCCACTTGGATTTGTCTTTCCTTTTCAACCTCTGCTTGCTTGACTTGCCTCTCAGCCTCCTCTGCCTGTCTCCTAAGATTATCAAGGTCTTCAAGAGCTTTTTGTTTTTGCTTTGCAGCCTCCTTTTCCGCTTCAGATTTGCGTTTGAGTTCCTCTTCTGCCAAACGCTTTTTCTGTGTCTCCTCATTAACTTGTTTCCGGAGCTTCTCTGCCTCCTCTTGAGCTGCCTTCCTGAGTTTTTCTGCTTCAGCTGCTCTATCACGAAGTTGCTTGAGTTCAGATTCTGCAGTGGTCTTTTGTTTTACAGTTGTCTCGAGTTGGATCCTGATGAGGCGGATTTCCTCCTCAATCTTGACTCGACTTTGAAGAGCTTCATCCACCTGTTGACTTTTGCTTTTGATCTGCTGCTCTGAGAGGTTTTTGAGCTCGTGCAGCTCCTGTTGGATGTTCTGTTTTTGGTTTTCTGCATCTACAGCAGCATTTTCTCTCCTGCTTACTTCTTCCTGCATTCTGAACTTCAGCTCTTGAGCCTCTTTTTCAGCTTTTGCAATGGCCTTTGCATGAGCTTCAGCTAACTGCTTCTGTTTGTCTAACTCAGCCTGCATCTCCGCCATCTTTTTCTGCTCTTCTGCTTTGAGTTTCTGTGCAGCTTTCTGCATTAGTGGAAGCAAATGGTAAAGAAAGGATTATAATCAAGCATGACAGACTGAAGGTAATACTTTACATTAACCAGCTCTAAACAGTGTGGGTTTAAACAGTTAATACTTTGGTAATCAAAGCCAAAACACACTTGTTTAGGAGCAAATTACTGTAGTGCATTACCTCGGCAATGTTAATGTTAAAATTAGCTCAAAGAAGAGTTCAATCACTAGATGCAAATTAGATGCACATTCATTTAAGTGATGTTAAATTCTTGATGCAATTAAAGAATCATGACAAGATCATTCAGGAAAAACAGAACTCATGAATGTATCAGTTAATGCATGGAAACAAATTACTTCACATCACAGCAAGAAAATCATGGCATGCATCTGTAGCTGGAGGAGGATCATATCTTACAGTATATCAGTCTATGTATTTAACAAACCTAACTGTGTGATCACTGTAGAAATATCAGACTCGCAGATCTTTTCAGTATGTAGGTGGGGTTTTGTTTTGTGGAAACTTATACCCCATAGAGTCAGTGGAAAACACTTAAAAATAATAATAATCCGAGTAAGAAATGTTTCCACACCATTCTGTCAGAGTATCTGTTATGCCATCCCGTGCACTTGGGGTTCTTTAAATCACCATTTGTTACGAAATAGAATTGGGATGAAAGGAGAAGTCAAAAAATAAAGATTCAAGTGACATGTTAGTCTGGAAATTGGCTTATGACAAAAAAATATGAAGCATTACAAAGGCTCTTAAATTGATAAACAGGCTGAGCATGTAAAATATATGCTGTCAGTGAAGACATTAGTAATCATGAGGCAGTCTGGATAATTAGCTGTAGATGTACAGAAATGAAAGATGGAAAAAATGGTTTGAAAAGTGAAAATGCAGTTTGAGACGAACACAGAAGATAGGATGAAACAGGAATAATGAATTAGACGTACCTAGGACACATAATTTACCTCTTTTATGCTCAAACATGGCAAAGCACTGGCAAGCAGTTAAAAGAAGCAAGGACACAAACAAAACATTGGGTTAGAAAAGAATGCAAGTCTTTCAATTTGTGTGATTTAGGGGGGGAGGGAATAGATTTGAATACAGAGATGATCAGACTGACCCACAGATTTATAACTTTGAGGTTAACCTCAAGAATAAAGTAGTCAGTGGTGTAAGGAATAAAGAGACAACTAAAAGTAGTGAAAGAAAGAACCCCTCTTTATAATTTAATCATGGCACAACATAAAATGAATGGAAATGAAGTAACGTGTGAACGTACACAGTGCTGAATTTAGTCTCTCTAATTTGAAACACTGAGAAATGTGCCCCTAAAAGAGTCTCTAACTGATTACTGTACTGATGAAATGTGATGGCCACCTTTTAGTTTTTTGTTTTCCATGAAGCAGATTTTCCTTTTCTTGAAGTGGTCTTGATCAACAGCTCTCCAAGCTTTCTGACGATAATGAAACTTGGTTGCCTTTTTCACTTGTTTTCAGTTTAAAGGAGAGATACAGTATCCTGCTTTTAAACCCTTCTTTTTCACATTTAAATAATTCAAGTTTGGGGTTATATAAAGTTGAACTGCAATTATTTAGGCTGAATTTCTCCTTATTTTAACTCAAATCAACTCGTTTTGATGCTGTCTCTTTAAATCTAAATGAGGCGCTTCATACCCTGCCCCCTCCAGCTTTCAGAGTGGTCTATCGTACTTTAATATAGGGGGTTACAAACTGTATAGCATAAACATTTTATTTACAAACTAATTAAAAGATGTCAACAACAGAAGACTTGTCCATCCAACCTTACATGTTGGAGCCAGCCAAGTTCCGTCATTAATACTGTGACGTAACAGTTCAGAAAATATAATGGAGTATAGAGAAAACTAAACAGGTTGAGAAACATGACCCAAACAGGATGTAAAGATATCTACACAGCACTGGGAAAAACAAAAGTTAACTTTTCTGCACTCCTAGAGACTCCACAACAAAATGTATTTAAAAAATGTATTTTGCATAATATGTCCGGAATAATTCTTGTTCAGAGGAATACTTATAGGTTTGTTTGCTGATCTATGAATCTTTCAGAGAAAAGGAAAGGCACCTCCACTTAAGAGGTAAGCCAAAGAAAAACCTTAAAAGACATTCAAATAAAATGTTTCAAGACCATTTTATAGAAAACAAGAAAATCTGGCTTCTAAGAAGATATATTTTAAAACCAAATTGAGGATTTGCTAACATACGATTAGCAGTGGCCATCTTTAGCTGAACCTCAGCACACTCAAAACACATGCTTTATATTTGCTTGTTTAGTTCACGTTTAATGAACAAACTTTAAAATTCAACAACTCTCCAGGTAATATGTCAGCTACAGCATGCCAATGTTTCATGCATTTTCAGTGCAAAGGAACCATTTGTGACCTTTACATTAAACGAAATGTGTAAAAAAGTGTGACAGAAAAACAGAAAAGTGCATGTGTGGGGTGGGGGTGTATGATCAGTGAGGAATCCATGTTGTGTTGTATGTTCATTTAGTTTGATGGTTGGTTAGGCAATGTTAGAATTTAGTTTGTTTGGGACTCTGCCAGTCGTCACATACCTCCTCATCCTCCAGGCGGCGCTGCGTGTCGGTGATGAACTTGATGTACTGATTAGTCAGAGTCATCAGCTCACTGTACTTGGTCCTCAGTGTTACATACTATTTCAGGGAAAACAAACACTTCAGGCTGCTGTTCAACAGTCCATACTTTTAGTACAACTATTAAACTTTACTACAAAGTACTTTGTCTTTTTCATTCACACATCCAGTAAACTATGATGTAAACCATGTATGTAAACTTTTTAAAGTAAGGAATTGTTACTTTGTAAGAAAAAATAAATGGAGTTGAGAATTAAATCACAAATGACCTCAACTCTTGTTCTAGTTGTGATTTACCCATAGCCAGTTCTTTCACTCTTGCACTGGTTTATAGTGAAGAGGTCTCGGGTAAAATGGCTCATTGCTTTATAAAATCTCTTGTGCTGAAGCATAAAAACACACCTCCTGAATGATGTTGTCAGAAGCAGAATCAAGCTTGGTTTTCTTCAGGGGAGCAGCAAGAGGCTCCACCTGAGCTCTGTACGCAACCAATTGCAGCTCATAGTCCTGTTTACACAAAAACATCATTAGTTAGACTCAAAATAATTATTTTATAGATCAAAGATTACAATCCACGTGCACACTTCATGGTTAAAGCTCACCTTAATGGTATCAATGTATGCTTTAGCATACTTTTGACACTCATCCACTTTGTCCTTGTTCTGTTCAATCTCTTCCAGAAGTTTCTATTAAAGAAAGAAGATCAAGGTCACGGTTCAGTAGTTTATTTTAAAAACTAAATGTAGATAATAACTGTAAAGGTTTAGGCACAATACTTTTTCTTGGGCAAGCTGATCTTTCAGAGTTTTGCTGTCGGTAATGGGCACAGCCTGGATCTTCTCCTGCCTTTGCTTAGCGTCGGCTATCCAACGAATTAGCAAATCATAGCTCTCCCGATAGTAACCCAGTTGTCGACCGAGCTGCTCCAGCTCCCTCTGGCGAAGGTCAATCTGGGTGAACACTGCTTTCCAGCGGTCCTGGAGACCAGACGTGAGCTGGCGGTAGTGATCCAGCTCAGCATCACGTTCGCTGTGCACACGGGACATCTTGTCGCTCACAACAGAAGCTTTCTTTAGCTCCTCCTCCATGGAGTCAAACACTGGCTGTTCACCCTCAGCTTCTGCTCGCATTTTCTGTGATTGTCCAAAAAAATAATAAAAACATTTGCTTATGAGCAAACACAACAAACATACTCTGACATGTATGAGTCAAACCAGCATGCAGCTAAAGCTTTTAAACAATAAAACATTTTTAAGATTTATATTTTTTTCAAAAGCTGAGTTATTTTGAATACCTTAAGCTTAGTTCTTTCAGTCTCCACTTCTTTGACATCACTAGGTACAATGTGAACCTCCCGCAGATAGTCCTCATACTGCTTCAGGACTCCCTCAGCACCCTGTGTGTTGCGGATGACCATGTCAACAGTCTTCAGCCTGAGGAAAGTTTAGATGACAACAAACATGATTTTAAAGGGCAGGTATTATGTATTTTCAAGCCACAAAGTTAAATTCTATACCAATATCAAGTACTATTTTACCTTCAGTTATTATGAAAAAGCTATATATATCAAAAATTATTTTGACTTTGCAAAGATCTAAACACCTTGAAATTGACCTCTGTCTCTTTAAGAACCTCTGACTGTTTCTTCACAACAATGCTTCATGCAGTTTACAACTTTTTAAAGGAATGCCGTAATTTGAGAAAAAAAAGAAGCAACACTATATAATAGTTTTTGGAAATTGCAACTCAGGATATAGTTGAACATTGATTGAATGATGCCACGTTGGACAATGAAAGTATGTTTTCTGAAGAACCGGAGCGAGTACAGAGGATCTTACAAGATGTTTTAGCTTGGTAATATATCTCCCAGTCATCCTCTCATACATATACATCCATATTAAACTGTTTTTTGAAAAGAAACTATGAATATAGATCATTGTGAAGCCATGTTTTGCAATGAAATCATGAACTGTCACCATGTTTAAGATAAGTTTTGCAATAAAATTATAGGGATTTGTGAAGAAAATCCTGGTCTGGTGGGGCTGTGTGGGGGAGACACGAGGTGGGGTTCTCTGTGGGGCAGAAACTCAGCTGGGGACTGAGCTCCAGGGTGGAGCTTTGGGTAAACAGGTGGAGCTTAGAATAAGCAAGCATTTAGGAAGCTCCACATGGCTATCACAGGAGATACAAGGATTTCTCAAACATGTATGAACATGGATATGTTTTTGATGATGGAATGACATTATAAAATGATATAAAGCTCAAAAAATACATTTTGCATAATAACCCCCTTTTAAAAGAATGTGTTTTCTTTTTAGAGTAAGTAGTTGAAAACTTACTTCTCGAGATAAACAGAGGACAGCATGTAGACATGGTCCATCTTCTGCACAGTAATGTCAAGCTCTGACCGCAGTACAGGGGTTGAAGGGGACTGCTGAGGGGAGGCCAACACTTCCTGGGTCTTTACAGACACCTTATCAAGGTCCTTCTTAAGGCCTTCAAGCTCTCCCTGGAGTTTCTGTGAAACAAAGCATCAGTGTTAACACAACGACAGAACATTAGAACATTAGCCACATAACGATGCAAAACAGATTAAAAAAAAAAACTCTAGGAAGCATACAAATAATTTGGAATTCTTTGTTCCAGATAAGTCAGATTTATTGTTTATTTTTATCTTGCATCAGCAGAAATCTGCACACAGAATGCAGCCAGCAGCTATAGAATCTCTGAAACTGTCACTGAACTACATATTATCTTAGTTTTAACAGTGTGTATGCTCATCAGGCATATACACTATTGAGATCCATTTTTCTTCTATTTGTTTTTTGGCACATTTCTCATTCTGTAAAGGCTGTGCCATTTCAGCCATTTATGCATCAGAACCTTCAACTCCTTCAGGACATTCTGGCTATGACTTTTGGTACTTCAGCAATTTATACTTTGAGATATTTAGTTTTTCTGCTATTTTTATCTTTTAGAAAATGCATGGAGCCATCTTCGACATCCTTAACCCTTCAAAATGTTCAGAAATCTTTACTAAACTCTACCTTTTGATTTGTTCCTTAGTGTTTCACTCCTCTGTATTAATTTCAGCCCGCTCCAGCTTCCATCCTGCTGATTTTAGCTTTCTGAGCAATCATTCTGACCTTTTCTGCAACTCTTCTGCTAATTTAATTTATGTTTCTTTCAGATACTTTCTGCTATTTTAAGATTTTTATACTTCTTTCAGCTGCTTTGTGCTAATTTCAGCTGTTTTCTGTGTTTGTAGCTACTTTTTAGATAATTTGAGCTTTTGTCAGCTAAATTCTTCCTTTCAAATTTCAGATTCTTATAGCTTAATTCAGCAAACATGCTTTTTTCTTTTTGCTAATTTCAGCTATTTCAGTTACTTTATTGATCCATTTTTAGGCTAGTTTCAGCTGTGTTTTTTTTAGTTTAGCATTCTCACACTGCATTTTCGCAGGAAATCCAAATTCTCTATTTATTTTATTCTCTTTGCATCTTAACTTTTCATAAACTCTCACAACCCTTCTCAATAAAATATTCAATTTTACATTTTGTCTCTGTTTAACCACTTTTAGATAACCTGTTAATATAAACATTTACCTGCTGCTCTGTTCTTTTCTGGGCACATTCTCTCAGAGGCTCTTTTTCAACTGGTTTGCGGATCCGAGCCACAGTCTGAGCCTCGCAGTCCTCGATACGCAAACGCAAGTCTTTGACCTCAGAAATATAGCTCTTACACAGAGTCTCATCTTGCTGACCTGTAGGAAAGAAGTTGAATTAGATTAGAAAATCAATAATTGTGAAAAATAATCTGTACTAAAAGCCATTTAGATTACGATATTAACATTAAGCATATGAGCAAAAATAGTTGCATTATTTTAAATACAATAATGACAATGGTGTGAAATTGTCAATAATTGATCATTATACCTAATTGAAGTTTATACTGTATGTCTTCACAAATACTGTTCAAATTCTCAAATGCATGTTACAGGTGTGGGTTAGGTTCAGGACCAAGGTTTAGGTTAGTTTTAGGGTCAGGTAAGTTTCTGTGAGGTTAATTTTAGAGTATATGGTCAGGGTTAGGCCATAAAGTCTAAAAAACATGAATGGGAGTCAATGGAAGGTCCCCACAGGGTCAAGAAACGAACAAGTGTGTGTGTGTGTGTGTGTGTGTGTGTGTGTGTGTGTGTGTGTGTGTGTGTGTGTGTGTGTGTGTGNGTGTGTGTGTGTGTGTGTGTGTGGGTGTGTGTGTGTGTGTGGGTGTGGGTGTGTGTGTGTGTGTGTGTACTGCATATGGCTACATGTCAAAATGCATTAATTATTGTCACCAAATTCATAGCACATAGCATACCGGAACTTGGGAGCCAAAACAACATGCATTCACACACATGAAGCACGTTTATTTGCTAAATGTTTGTGTTTGAACATTCCATCCAGCTGAAAAGTGTACAAATCAGCTTAGTGCCTCAGGCTGGCTTTTATTTTATGTTACTTACCTTTGACCCTACCGACCATATGTCCTGAAAGGTGAATTGATATTTATACTATGAAGGTGATATGTAAATATGAATGTAAATATTTGGTTTTGTTTAGTAATAAAAACATTACAAAATCACTGTTTTAGAGCACATAGTACCTTTCTCCATGGATCGAAGCAGACTGTCGAAATGCTGGGTACACTTGGTGTAGTCATCCTCAACCTGAATGCGCTCATCAGGGCCAAAGACCCTGGAGTCCTGGCTGTCGCGCATGAAGTCCTGGTAGTGGAGTTCCAGGTTTCTCATGATCAGCCGGTACTCCTCTGGTTTCATGGTCTTCAACTGCACAGAGGGGAAAAAATCCAAAAGGACAATAAAGGTGAGGATAAACTCAAAACTGAAATTGTATTCTTTTACTTTAAGTGCCTGTCACACCATGATATTTTAGACAATTTACGCCAACTTATGAACATTTTAAAGACATCTACGTTGAAGATAAAATTGAAAAAAAAAATCAACTGGAAGCTTCTTTTAGGCATGTACATACTGTAATTTTAACAAATTGATCAAATACTGTATACAACTTTTATTAACAATTTAGACATAAATGTTTCATAAGTTGGCATGGGTTGTCTTGTGTGACAGGACCTTTACTTAAACCATGTGTTTTTGGTTGGAGTCAGACTCATCTCATGGTCTCCAACAAAACATTTTGTGTTTTTTGTTGTTTGTTTTACCTTGGATACTGTATGTATTTTATCTCTTTTTGCACGTGTCTACATAAGCGTGTGTTTATTTGTCTGTTGTGTTATCAGAATATCTCATGAACTAGCAGACAGATTTTATGAAGGTCTTTTTAATAATTTGATGTATATCTTTTTTTCCCATGGTCAACCCAATATAAGATAGCTACGCACAGCTAACTGACTTTAGCCAGCACAAAAATGCCTCTGACCCAGTCATGTTTACAGTTACTGCATCATCTGAGAGTCATTCACAACATGTACTCTGAGCCCTCAATGCTTGACTTTTCACAATGTTGGTTTTAAGATTTGACCAAAATGAGAATAACATCCATCATTTCTTTTAAAATTATCTTAGTTTAAAGCTCAGACATGATAGACAGCAGACAATTTGCATTCCTTCAGGAAATGTTAGGTCTTTATTTAGTTTAGTCTTAAATTTTATTAAAGTTGCCTATATGTAAACTATTACCTCCCCAATCTAAAGTAAAGACTTTAAAACCTACCATGGTGATGTTCCAAGAGCGAATCTGTGTAAAATCTTTCATCAGATACTGCCAGGACAGAAGACTCTTCATGTTAATATGAAGCATCTGCCACATGGACACCATCTGCTGATGATCTGCATCCAAACTGGAGCACAAAAAACATGCAATAATGGTATTAGTTAAGAAAAATAAATACATAAAAGTTTTTTTCTTGTAGTATTTATTCAAGTACTGCCATAACTATGGCTATGTTCACACTGCAGGCAAATGTGACCCAAATCTGATTTATTTGCCCCATGTGACCCATAATGGATTTTTTCCTGACACTCTGAACGTGACAAATCCAGTTTTTTTTTCAAATATGATCCAGGCCTACTCAGTATGTGATACTGAATGGGATAGATATGTTTTTCAAAGCGACTGCAGTCTGAATGCTCATGTCTCATTTCTTCTGACTTCTACATCTTTGAGGTGGGGGTGAAGGACCGATCCAATAATAATGACACTAACCTCGAGTCATGCTGTTTAAATCTGTAACATCTTCAGCTACAGATGTTCTTTTAATTTCCCATGTATTGGATGACTGAGAATCCACAGAAACATATGATTGTAACGTCCAACATTAGTCACAGTCCATATCAATATTAAAGTTACTTGATCAATACTTTTCTTTTAGAATGTCACTTTATTCCAAAAATAAAATGCTGCACAGGATATAAATAATGTTGGAACAACTACTTCAGAATCAACATGCTAACAAGTAGCATCCATGGTTAGATAATTCTATAAAACAGTGAGCTGAATGTAACGTCACGTCATCTTCTGTGCATATGGGTCACATCGGTGCCGTGAAGAGTTCACTGGAGTCTGATGGAGGTCACATTTAAAATGTAATGTAAACGTTTACACCAAAATAATCTGATTTTTTAAATCTGATTTCAGCATTAAGACCTGCAGTGTGACTCTTGGTGATCTCTGCATTCTCACCTTGACACACTGTCTACAGCCTCCTTGTTGACTGGAAGTACAACAAAGCAGACAGAAGGAACCACGGCTTCATGTCCAGAGCGGTTCAGAACCTTCCACTTGAAGGGCTGAGAGTTGTTTAATAGGGCACACTCATCTCCTCTATGAACAGTGATCTGAAACAGAAAGAATAGTTTGTATCTTGTAACGGTCATTTGTATGTTACTGTTGTAGTACCTTTTAGCACCACACAGTGGCACCTCTTTTATTTGCAGTGTCACAGGTCATTGTAAAAGCCAACAGAAGTAGTTAGGTGAGTCTTGCCATGTGTGCACGCATCACTGCTCTACTCAACTTCATTAAGTGATAAAGGATATATGGACTACGATATATTCTATGAATTCATGTATGAATGATAGATTTGGTGCCATGGAGACCTGGCATTACATGGTTTCTAAGTTTTGTAATAAAGTGCAAGTGAGAGCAACCAAGCTGTCACTCTTTTCCAAGCTATGCCTGAGCTCATGCTGCCATGCTAAAGCTAGCTCTCCTCCTACACACTACCAACAGGTTACAATCTGTGGTAATGACGGTAAAGCTGCTAAACCATTAAATGTCTCTGCTGCCAGATTGTTCTGACCTCCTGCTGCTTGAAGTCACAGACGGCCTGAATGGGCAGTTTGCCTTTGATGGGTGTGGTGGGACTGCGAGGTTTCAGCTGGATGATGGACCGGGACCTCTTGTTCAGTCCAGCCACCAGAGTCTTAAATTCATTCAGCTGTTCCTTCTCCTCCTGTTGAAAACAAACAACTCAACTGAAATAAAAACAATAACCATTCTCTTTATAAATATGTGTTTTCCTCGTTTATACTTTTTTTTTTCAGAACTGCATAGACACATAAACATGCACAGCTACCCACCACAGCATCCTGCAGCAGATCCTCTAGACGTGTGGTTGTTGTGGAGCGATCACAACTGTATTTCTTCTTCAGGCTCTCCTGCATTTTCTTCATCTTGTCCTGAGCTTCTTTCACATCAGCAAAAAACTGCATTGACAGCAGACATGTGAGGTTCAAAACAACATGAAAAATAACTGTACAATATAAGGATTTATGAAGGAGTATCTGACATTTTACAGATGGTTCAATAATAGAACTCTTGTTTGTGTTTCTTACTTGGTAGTAAGCTGTATTTTCTTTAAGATGAACCTCTGTACAGCAGCACAGCTGCAGGATCCAGCTCCACTGAGTCTGCAGGGCAGCCGTGAAGGCCTAGTGGAGACCAAGAAGGCATAGCAGAGGGTCAATGAGAGTCTCAGGGTTTGTATGATACCCTTCTTGTTTCTTTCTTCAATATAAAGTCTGCTGTAGTTACCTCAACTGTCTTCTTGCCAGGATGCCCATCACTGACAAGTCTGTCTCCCATAGCTTGGATATCAGTGACTTTCTTTTCCCTTTGTTCCAGCTCCCGCATGAGACCCTGAAGAGTTTAAAGAGATACTGATTACATAAAAATTTAACGAACTCAAATTGATAAACTTAAGGGGTTGAAATTAGTGTTAATTGAAATGATTCATATGATATGGCAAAAGTTTTTGTTTTTAAACCCACAGAGTAATTTTCTTTTTTAGCTGTCATGTTGGTGTTTCTGTCACTCCAGTCATAGTTGACCTCCTCCTCCTCTTTGTCATTTAACCACATCAGTTCCTTGGTTGCAGCTGTGACAAAGGCATGCAGTGAGTCCAAGTTTCTCAGACGAGACTTAGAGGAGTTCTGAAACAAATAACAACAAAAAGAAATTCAGAGAAAAATCTAAGCATAATCCACAAAAAAACGTTTAAAACATGCAAATATTTACCAGTAGTTTTCCATACTGGAGGTCCAGTTTTCCCAGGTATTCTCTGTATTTGCCTTTGCTTACAGGAGAAAGTTGGTTCTGTAGAAAACAAAAGATGAAAAAATAAACAAAGATAGAAAAGAAAACACATACACTTCATGAGCTTGTTCCAAACTACTGATATATTCTCTACTGTACCTCGTCAGACTTGGCTCGTTCAATCTTGGATTTAAAGTCCTCAATAGTCTGATGCAGGCCTCTGTGACTGCCCAGCTGGGACTCCACTGAGGGCAGATCTGATCCCCACTCTGCCTTATCGATACGCTGCTGGTTGTCCTCCACCCAGGCAAGAAGATCTTCAACATAGCGGAGGGTCACACCATCTAACTCAGGCCGCATCTTCACAGACTGCTGGGAAGTCTGGGTCATGGAAGCCTGAGCCAGCGATACGGCAGACTTCAGACGAAGATTGTAATCGCTGCGCAGACTGACGAGGCGTTCATGGAGGTGGAAAACCCTGTGGAGATCAAAAACCCAACCGGCTGTTAGTGGCTACTGTCCTCACTTAGCTCCTTTTCTGTCTTTGTTCTTGATGTCCAGACTATAGTTATGTTCACACTGCAGGTCCTAATGCTAAGTTCTGATATTTTTGTTCATATTCAAATATTTTTGGAGTGGTTGTTCACATTATAATCTTTAAATGTAACCTCTATCAGACTACGGTCTACAGCCCTAAAGCAACCCACATGTGCAGATGAAGATGTGACATCATACTCAGAATGCTTTGTTTACAAAAGTAACAATGGATGCTATACATGTTTGCATGTCTGGATCAATTCTGAAGTTATGTAATCAGCTGACTAACTTACTACAAGCTGCGCTTGTTTTTTTCCAATGTTTACATTTAATTTTGTCATTTTCTCGTCTGCTTCATTGCAGAATTACACCTCTGGAACAGGACCGACTGTTTTAAATAGAGACAAACTCCTTTATCGATTCTGTTATGCTACCATCAATACAGGTCAACACAATGGTAGATCGCTGCTAGTAACTTTTGGTGTACACACACAAACAAACACATAAATACATACATACATATATACATACACATACATATACTGTACATACATATATACACACACACACACACACACACACACACACACACACAC